TGAAGTAGGTGTCACTGCCCTCCCCCTTTATAAATGGCAAAGGGAACCTGAGAATTATGAACAGGCTCCCCCCAGGTCTAAACAGCTTTTGGCAGAAGCATTCAACAGATCAAAATATGTGGTGCATTTAGGATGTCGGTCCTCTTGGACATGCGCCACTGTTAAGTGTCATCAAGCAGACAACTCACAGTGACTTTCAACAATTCGTTGTATAGGTGATCGTCTCTGGTTTTCCAAGGAAACCGAAACCTGTAGGTGGCAGGGTGCACGTCCCCCCCCAACAGGCGGTGGGACGCACGCCCTATCTTCTGTGCAGGCGGCCGGCGGGCGCGCACCCCCCCCAGCTCGGGCGACTGGCGGGTGCTCGCCATCTCCCGTGCATCATCTCCCATGCGGGTGGCCGGAGGGCATGTGTCATCTCATGCGCAGGCAGCTGGTGGGGGTGGGTGCGCGCCATCCCCCAGTGCTGGCGGCAGGCCGGCATACATCATCTCTCACGTGGGCAACCGGCAGGCGCGCTTCATCATCTCATGCACAGGCAGCCCACTGTTGTACACCATCTCTCAGCGCAGGCGGCCAGCAGGCGCACGCCATCTCCCACATGTGCGACTGGCGGGCATGTGCCATCTTCCGTATGGGTGGCTGGCGGGTGCGAGCCATCTACCAAGTGTCATCTCCTACATGGGTGGCTGGCAGGCACACGACACTTCTGCCATTTCAGTCTTAAGTGTTCTGGATTGCATTTTTGTGCCCTTCAGTTATTTCTAGTACTGTGTTGGTACCCTCTCTATCTTGAGATTATTTTTTAAGTTCTTGTACCTCCTTATCTATGATTTCAAGTTTTTCTTCCTTTTTTGCCCTTTCTTCTGTATTTGTGCAAGTTCCTCCTCATCACTGTATTTCTTCTGGCTCCATGTCTTTGGAGCATTTGCTTTCTTGGTAGTTTCCATTTTTCATCCATCACTTGCACCTTCTTCCATAGCTGTTCAAATAACTCTTCATTAATATTTTTTTTCTGGTTTTCTACCTCTAAGTTATTCCCTTTATTTGTGGCTTCTTTGGATTCTTCTATTATTTGTACTTTCATTCGTAACTGTTCAAAATCTCTCCTTATCAACATATATCATCTGCCTTCTTGATTCTGGGGTATTTGTGATGTCTCTAATATGCTTTTCCTAGAGAATGCTAAATCTGTTTTTTCACCATTCTCACCAACCACTCTGCAAGATAATTATTACAAATTGAAAATCCTTATGAGACAGTTCTTCTCTGTCCTACACTGCTACCATTAGTCACAACTCAGTCAACAGCAATGAATTAGATTTTCAGTTTAGTGGTAATTCTATGTTTAACTTGTTGACCAACTACCAACTTGCTTTCCACAATGGGAGTATCATTTAACATTCCTACCAGCACTGATAAGCAAGGGTTCCAGTTTCTCTTCATTTTCACCAACATTTGTTTTCTGTTTTTCTGATAATAGCCATCCTAGTGAGGGTGACACAGTCACTGAACAATGAGCTCAAGTGTAGCAGAGATGATGGTGATAGCACAGAATAGGACAGAGTTCAAATCCTTTGTTTATATGGTCCCTGTGAGTCATAATTGACTCAGTGAACCCATCAACAAATGAGGGTGAGGTAACAAGCATGGTGTAGTCTGTAGGGAGTTATGCCATGTTTCTATCTGGTTTGAAGTCTGGGAAACTCAAGAGAGGGTCAGATATGATTCAGTTACCACTCCACACCAATGATTTGAGTTTGTTTTGAATTTCAATGAGGATGAGATGGTATCTTATTATAGTTTTGATTTGCATAATCATAAAAGAGGAAGACCCTCAAGGAGATGGGTTGACACAATAACTGTAACAGTAGGCTCAAGTGTGTTGGAGATTGTGAGGGTGGCACAGTAAAAGGCAGGGTTCAGATATTTTGTTCATAAGGTTGTAGTGAGTTGCAGTTCATTTGACAGCACCTAACAACAATTACAACTAACAAAATCCAGCATTTTGTTAAAAAAATCCTATTTTTTAAAAAGTGAGTTGTCTTTTTGGTGTTTCCTTGTAAGAGTTCCTTATCTATTATAGACATTAAACTTTTATCAGATGTGTGATTTTCAAATCTTTTATCCCAGTCTGTAGGTTAATTTCCCCCCTTTTATGAGAATATTTTTTCATAGCCAAAGGTTTCCTTTTTATTATTATTAATTTCAATTAATATTTACAGAGATTGTGGATTTCCTTTCATTCATTGTTGCACTTTTCTTTCCGCCCACTGCCCCCACCCCCAGTTCGCTCTTCTTTAAAAGCAAAAGAAAAACTCCTTCATTGGTATACAATCCCCCTGCACCCTCCCACCTTCACCCTGAGTATACTCCACTCTGCTACCCTCATTCCAAACTCTTATGATAATCATAATGCCATAAAATATATTATTTTTACAAAGGTTTAATTTTTATGAAGTCCACTTCATCCATTTTTTTCTTTAGCTTCCTGTGCCTTTACTGTCATGTTTAAGAATCTTTTGTTAAACATAATGTCCTATAGATTTATCTTTTAATTTTCTTCTTAGAGTTTCATGAACTTGTTGTTGTTGAGTACCCATAGTTGACCCTCCTCCAGCAGGTTTTCAGAGGCAGTTAATTGCATGGGAGAAGATTGCCCATCCTTCTCCTGCAGAACAGCTGACGACCTCGACCACAGAACCATGTACCCTTGGGATTGCAACCCAGCTTCTTGGCATTAGGCCACCAGAGCTCCCTTTTATGATCTTAGATATAATATTTAGATCATTGATCCATTCTTAGTTACTTATGCATGTGGTGTGAGGCAGGGGGTCCAATTTCATTCTTTTACATGTTATACACGAAGCTACAGCAGTTAAGAAAGCATTCTTTCTCCATTGAATAGCCTGGCACTCATGTTGAAAATCAGTTGATCATAGATGTATTCATTTGTCTGAACTCTCAAAGTTTATTCCATTGGTCTATACTGCTATTCTTGTAATAGCAGAAGGCCCTCTATAAGGTGGATTGATTCAGTGACTGGGATAATTGGGATGGGAGTGTCAGAGACAGTGCGATTGGCACAGGACAGAGCGGAGTTTAGGGCTGTTGTACATAGGGTTGCTATGAGTCGCAGGCGACTCGACGGCACATAACAACAACAACAACAACATTCTTGTAATTTTTTTAAGATCAAACAGTGTGAGTCATCTAATTTTGTTCTTCTTTTTCAAGATTATTTTGGCTTTCCAGAGTCCTTTATAATTCCACATGTATTTGAGGATTGGCTTTCTATTCCTTAAAAGAAAAAAAGTGGTGGAATTTTTGCCAGGGCAATCCTAATTAATCTATAAATGACTTTGAGTAGTATTGACATCTTCACTGGGTCAATCAGTAGCTTCATGATGAATGGAGAAGACATTGAGATTGTTCACTTCAGGTTGTTTGGCTCCACAATCAACATTCTTCGCATCAACAGCCAGGAAATCAAAAGATAAATTGCATTGGGGAAAATATCTTTTCAAGGACTTCTCTAGAGTACTGAAGAGCAACAGTGTCAGTCTGGAGACTAAGGTGCCCCTGATCCAGGCCATGGTTTTTGCAATTACTTGCTGTGCATCAGAGAGCTGGACAGTGACTAAGAATGATAGAAGAAAGATTGATGTGCTTTGAATTGTAGTGCTGAAGACGAGTGTTGAATATAACTTGGACAGCTAGGAGAACAAACAGGTCAGGTCTGTCCTGGAGAGGGTGAAACGAAGCTGCTCCCTGGAGGCAAAGATTTTGAAGCTCTGTCTCACATACTTTGGGCAGGTGGCCAGGAGTGACTAGTCCTTGGAGAGTTACATCATGTTTGGAAAGGTAGAGGGCAGCCCAGGAGAGGAAGACCCAGGATGAGATGAGTTGACTCAGTGACTGGAGAAATGGGATTAGGTCTGTCAGAGATGATGAGTTTGGCTCAGAAGAGGGTAGGGTTTAGAGTGAATGTAGTCACAGGTATCTTAATGGCACATAAGCAACAACAATAATCATGAACATGAGTATCCTTCTAAATATTGCAATATCTTTCAGCAATATCTTATCATTTTCATTGTATCACATTCCTGGTGTGATTTACAGCCTCAAAAAAAAAAACACCCCTGCTATAGGGTCAGCTATGAATCTGTTCTGATTTTTCTGGAGAATTTATTCTTTTGTTATTGATATTGTTATGTGCTGTTGGCTCATATATGGATAAACCACAACTCATAGTGGTTGGTGCATATATTAGAATAATGGTTTGACTGCAGCAATGAACTTGAGCATGTCAGAAATAATGAGGATGGCACAAGATAGGGGATCAGATTTGTTGTTCATAGTGTCCCATGAGTTGTACTTGACTTGATGGCACACAGCAACAACAAATAAGAAAGGAAATGAACTGACTTCTTTAATTGGGGAAGTTGGTCTTTAAACATGACTAGATCCAGATGCTTAACCAACACCAAATCTTCTCTTTCTCAATGTATTATGTGGAAGACTTTCTCTATTCCTTACATAAGGATATTTTCCTTCCTCCCTAGTTTTCTGCCTTTAACATCCCTGTGTCTATTTAGGAATATAGATAATTGTACCTTTGCAGACATGTTCCAAGTAGATAATTTCCAGAGCCAAAGAGCACAGACATTAAATATTTTAATACACACTGTCAAATTCCCCTTTAAACAGGCAGAGCAAGTTTGTTGACTCTCCTACCAACAATAGACTCTCATCATTGCCCCAGTGGATTGGATAGGTTGTGGGTCTGGGCTGCAATACCAATCACCACCATCCCACTATGATGGGGTACAGGGTTCCTTAGTGCCTGCTCCACAATTCCTGGGAACCTGCATACCACAAAACAGCAGGGCTCATGGACCTTTTGTATGGTTAATATCCATTTCAGTCCTTCCATACATTACCACAAACTCCAAACCCAATTTTATGACCAACCATGCTGTCTCCTCCAATTATCTCAGACATCCTCCGGATAGACAGCCTTTGGCAGTTTGAGAACTTGAAGAAGCTGCAGCTGGACAATAACATCATTGAACGGATTGAAGGCCTGGAGAATCTCACACAGCTGGTCTGGCTAGGTAAGATCCTGTCTGTATGTCTGCCCAAATCTTTGATGGTACCCTGTCAAGACTTTTTCCTCCCCAGGAGATAATACTCATGCATGACCCTGCTGCCAACCCACAATGAACCAGGTGTCCTAGAAGCTCCTATCTACTAGAAACAAGAACTCCATGAATTGTTAAAAACTAGGATCTGAGATGGGCAAAACAGAGGTGTGCTTGGGCATGCCAGAAAAAAAAATAGTCTGCTCCCATTTGTTCAACCTCCTTGGGAAAGAAAGAGAGGAGCAACCCTTTACTCCTTCTATTTAACCTAAAAGGAGATCTGGTGGCCTAGTGGTAAGGAACATTGCTGCTAACCTGAAAGCAGACTTTTCAAATCTGCAAGCTGCTCTGGAGGAGGAAGATGGGCAGTCTCATCCTAAGTGATTTATTGCCTCTGAAAAACCCACTGGAGGGTCAACAATGAGTCTATTCTGACTCAACAATAACAATATTTAACCTAAACTCAGATTGACAGTTGACTGTGGGCACCATCTATTAAATGACCATCATAATTGTTTATATGAACAATCCTTTACTTTTTTGCTAAGCATGGGTCTATACATTTTTTTTATGGAAGACTTCTAAACTTTTATAGCATCATCTCCGTTGAGAAGAGGAGTATACTAAGACCATATTTGAGAGTTCTTTGCTTCACTGCAAATGGCACAATAGGATTTGAATATGTGCTACCATCTTCTGGTCCTAATAGGAGGCACTCTTAATTATGATGAGGAGCAGGTAGGAACAAAACAGAGAGAAGAAGATGAATCTAAGAGTTATTTACACTGACTTAATATACTAGGCCTGCTATAACAAAACTAGATAGAAATTTATTCTCCCACAGATCTAGAGACTGGAAGTCCAAATTGAGGGAATTTTGGTTTGGTTTTGGTTTGTTTGTTTTCCAGTAGACCCACACACTTTCTAAAGGCTCTAAGACCTTTTTCTATTCTATCTCCCTCAGTTCTGGTAATCTTAGTAATTCCCTGGCTTGCAGATGCATCTTCATATGCCCAATCTTCCTCATATGTCTCTGTTTATCTCTTTCTAAAAAAAAAAATTATGTTCAATGATTTATTCATAGGAGACTTTTCCCTCTATATGTTTTGTAAAAAATTATTTTATGTTGGTTTGCTTACAAAGTTCGTATCTATATTGTTTCACACTATTCTTCATTCACATTGTGTTTCATACAATCATTCTCATTCATTATGTTTTATAAATGAATCACCATTGGACTATGCCCAGTATTACTCTTAACTTTTCAGGTCCCCATCAGATCTTTCCTATTTTCTTTACTCCCTCCCTCCACTAACCAAATTGTGCGTTCTCTTTTTTTAATTATTATTCATTTTAATGAAAGTTTACAGAGACTGAGGATTTCCATTCATTCATTGTTGCACTTTTCTCCCTGCCCACCCCACCCTCCCCCAAATTTGCTCTTCTTTTTGAAAAGTAAAAGAAAAATTCTTTCATTGTAATACAATCCCTACCCCCAAGTCCTCTCCACTAAGTAGCCTTCATTCTGAACTCCTGCCATGACAATAATACCTAACCAGATATCCCTTTTAAACCGTTTTCTCCCTCATCTGTTTCAATACACCATCCATCCCATCTTTCTCAGTCTCCCCCCAACACTGATGACAGTCCTGCCTTACAACAGTGACACTATGCAGTATTTGTCCTTTTGTGACTGAGATATTTCATTCAGCATAATGTCCTCTGGGGTCACTCATTTTGAATAATATTGCATGAGTTCCTTGTTTTTCAGTGCAGTGTAGTATTCCATTGTGTGAATATACCACGGCTTCCCTATCCATTCATTTGTTGAGGGGCACTTAGGTTGTTTCCATTTTATTGCTATTGTGAACAAAGTCACGATAAACACGGGTGTGCATATATCTGCTTGGGTGGCAGTTATGATCTCTTTAGGGTAAATTCCCAGTAGTGGAATTTCTGGGTCAAATAGTATCTCTGTTTGTAACTTTTTGAGAAAGTGCCACAGTGCCTTCCACTGTGGTTGCACCATTTTACACTTCCACCAACCGTGAATAAGGGTTCCAGTTCCTCCACAACTTTGTCAGCATTTGTTGCTTGCTGTTCTGTTAAATTTTTTATTCTTACCAGGGTGAGATGATATCTCATATATGTTTTGTGTGCTTTCTCTTTTAAGAGGACACCACTCAGGTTAGAATAGAGAGTTCTCCAAAGAAGTGCAATGATATCAGCTTAAAGAGTAAGGTGCACCTGGTTCAAGCCAATCTTTTCAAACACTTGCTAGAACATGCTTGTGTTATAGAAGCAATCAATAATGACATTAAAAAGTTCCTTGAAACAAACAAAAATGAAAATACAATGTATCAAAATCTCTGGGATAAAGCTAAGGCAGTCCCCAGGGGCAGTTCATAGCAATAAGTACACACATTAAAAAGGAAGAAAGAAAAAAAAAAGGAAGAAAGAGCACTGCAATCCCGAAGGCATTTGGTTCGAATCCGCCAGATGCTCTACTGGAGAAGGAGGTTTAATTTCCTCCTGTGTTAATCAGAGCTGATTTAATGGTACACAACAAAAGGGGGGGGGGAAGAAAGAACACAAAAAAAGAGAAGGGAAAAAAGGAAGAAGCAAAATTAATGATCTAACTCAACATCTCTCCCAAATAGAAAAAGAACAACAATCTAACCCCACAGCCTTTAGAAGAAAGGAAATTATAATTACAAAAGCTGAAATCAATGAGATAGAAAGCAGAAAAACAATTTAATCCATCAGCGAGACCAGGAGCTGGGTTGTTTTTAAGTAGTCAATAAAATTGACAAGCCATTGGCAAACTTAACAAAATAAGGGGGGAAAATAAGAAACAAATAACTCTATTAAGAAATTATAGGGGTTTCTTTCTCTTCCAGAGATGCTGTGTAGAGGCATTCAAAATGTTCCAGTGTCTGACCTACTGTCATAGGCTGTCCTACAACACAGCCTCTAACAAAACTAGGCTGTCCTGAGCCCCTGGTAACAGAATTGTTTACCTGTATACCAAGAATGTTGGAAAAGCACCAAAATCTACATGTGGTGTGTGCTTGGGCCAACTAAGAGGGGTTTGTGCTGTGAGACCTAAAGGTCTCATAAGGTTGTCAAAAACAACAACAAAAAGTATCAGCAGAGCTTATGGTGGTTCCGTGTTTGCTAAGTGTGTCCGTGACAGGATCAAGCATGCATTCCTTATTGGGGAACAGAAAATTGTGAAAATACTGAAGGCACAAGCACAAAGTCAGAAAGCTAAATAAAAAATGGTGCTTCTTTAATAAAAAAAATAAATTATAGAGGTGACATCACAACAGAACTAGATGAAATTAAATTGGTAATATCTGAATATTATTAAAAGCTATGCTCTGAAAAATTTGAACACCTAGAAGAAATGGGAAAATTCCTTGAAACTCATGTCCTACACAGATTGACATGGACAGATATAGAGCACTTGAACAGATTTACCACAGAAGAAGAAATTGAGCAGATCATAAAACAACTTCCCCCACAAAAAAAGTCCTGGACCAGATGGCTTCATGGCTGAATTCTACCAAATATCCAGAGAAGATCTATCACCAATTCTACTCAAATTCTTTTTAAAAATAGATAAATGAGGAGTACTCCCAGAGTAATTCTATGAATCAAGCCTAACTCTAATACCAAAACCAAGCAAGGATACTACCAAGAAAGAAAAATAACATACTAGTATCTCTCATGAGTATAAATGCAGAAGTCCTTAACAAAATTCTGGCTAGTAGAATCCAACATCATATTTTTAAAAAATTAGCTATGCATCTAATAGCATATGAAAAATATGAGGTATCCACCTAAGAGCTGAACATCGAATAAGGATAACAGAAGGAGGATAACAGAAGAAGCCTTTGAGTTGTGGCGTGGACAAGAGTTCTGAATTGTTTCCCCATTTAATGGGTTTTGTTACCATGTAAAATACCTGTTGACCATAGGTTGATGTATTGACTTCTTGGTTCTTGATTCTATTCCATTGGTCTGTGTTTTTGTTACTGTACCAATACCATACTGTTTTTATTACTACAGCGGTGTAGTAGGTTTTGAGTTATGGGAGTGAGATGCCTCCTACTTCATTTTTGTTTTTCAGAAGAGCTTTGCTTATTTTAGGTCTCTTTCCTTTTCACATGAAACTGGAAATTGCTTTTTCTATATCCTTGAAGAAATTGGGATTGCATTGAACCTGTAGATTGTTTTAGGTAAGATTATCATTTTCACAATGTTGAATCTTCTTATCCGCGAACAGGGAATATTCTTCCATTTAGTTCAATATCTTATTGTTTATTGTAGTGTGTGTGTGTACCATCAAGTCAGAACCGACCCACAATGACCCTTCTGTGTGTTTTCAGAGGCAGTAAATCATACAGGAGGAAATTGTAATTGTCCTTATATGGTCTTTTGTTTCTCTTGTTAGGCTTATTAATAAATATTTCATCTTGTGGTAAGTTTTGTAAAGGATTGTTTTTCTACTTTCCTTTTACATGCTTTCTTGTTGCTGTATAGAAATCCAACATATTTTTGTATGTTAATGTTATATCCTACCATGCTACTAAATTGGTCTACTAGGTCTAACAGGATTTTATTGAGTCTTTGGACTCTATATCTATACTATCATATTGTCTACAGTGACAATTTCAACACCTCTCTGCCAATTTGATTGCCTCTTATTTCCTTCTTTTACCTTATGGACCTAACTAGAATTTATAATACAGTATTGAAATAGAAGTGGAAATAGTGGGCATCCTTGCCTACCTTTATCTTATTCTGATCCTTTTTGGATCATTCAAGATTTCCCCCATAGTATCTCTCAGTATTGCATCTTGAAGTTTCAATTTGTTTTTCAGTTCTTTCAGTATGAGAAATGCCAAATAAATTCTTTCCTTTTTTTAAATTCTCCAACTCCAGCACTTTGCACATTCCATTATAAGACATGGCTTTGTCTTCTTGAGCTGCCCTTTGAGATCTTCTGCTCATCTCTTTTACTTCAGTATCTCTTCCCTTTGTTTTGGTTTCTCAACACTAGTGCAGTTTTCAGAGTCTCTTCTGACATCCATTTTGGTCTTTGTAATGACATTTTGCTGTCTTCATGAATGATATCTTTGATATCAACCCACAATTCATCTTGTCTTCGATCCTTAGTGTTCGGTGTTTCTAACCTGTTCTTGAGATGATTTTTATTTTTTTTTTCTATAATTATATTTTATTAATTTTCATAAACATTTACAGAGATTTTGGGCTTCCACTCATTCATTGTTGCACTATTCTCTCTACCCTCCTCCCAGTTTGTTCTTGTCCAAATGCCACAGTGCTTGTCAAAGCCAGTTCTGATTAATCTTCTTTGTCAGTGTATCCTTTGCCATTCCCTATCACTCCTCCCTGAGAGAGACTTCACCCTGAGTCATAAGGAAAAGGGGACGGCGTATTCTCTTAGCTACTTCCTGCTGAAAAGGGACGCTGTGGGTTTCAGGGTGAAGATCTTCTCTCACTATTGAGATGATTTTTAAATTCAAATAGGAAAAACTCAAGGTCATATTTTTGCTCTTGTAGACTTGCTTCAATTTTCTTCAACTGCAATTTGAACTACAGCACGAGTAATTGATGGTCTGTTCCACAGCTAACACCTGGCCTTGTTTTGGCTGCTGATATTGATCTCCTCCAGTGATTCTTTCCACAAATGTTGCATTCAATATGGATTATATCTCAGTACCAAGAAAATGAAAATCCTCTCCACTGGGCAAATATGCAACATCATGATAGATGAAGAGAAGGTTGAAATTGTAGGCAATGTCGTCTTACTTGGATCTACAGTCAGCAACCTTGGTAGCATCCAGGAGATCAGGATATGTATAGCATTGGGGAAGTCTGCTGTAAGGAACCACTCCAAAGCCTTGATGAACAATAATGTCGGCTTAAAGACCTGATTCAAGCCAGTCTTCCCACTCACCTGCTTTGTATCTGAGAGGTGAACAGTGAATAAGGATGACAGGAGGAGAATCAATGCCTTTGAGTTGTGGTGTTGAAGAAGAATGCTGAATAACCTATGGACTGCCAAAAGAACAGATATGTCTTGGAGAAAGTGCAACCATCATGTACCTTGGAGGCGAAGATGGTGAAGCTTCATCTCACATTTTGTGGACATGTTGGGAAAGACTGTTCCTTGGAAAGGAACATGCTTGAAAAGGTGGTGTGTCAGCAAAGGAATTGATGGATTGATTTGAATGTCTATGGCAATGGACTAAAATATGTCAATAATGATAAGGATAGTGTAGTATAGGACTGGTTGCAGATGTGTTGGGCATGGGGTCTCTATGACTAGTACTAAACCCAATGACACTTAACAACTACAATTACAATCCTATTCTACAGGAACAAAGAAGCCAACTCACTTGCCCAAAGCTATGCAGCCAGGAAGTAGCAGTGCTAGAACTTAAATTCAAACCTTTCTGGCCCAGGACCTACATTTCTTCTGTCCTGTTGGGCTGCTGTCTGATTACAGGGGTACACAAAGGCACTACACTTAAAATTTGCTGACTGCTATCAGCAGCATCTGTGTTGATGCTTCAAATCTGTACACAGGCTTTACTTAGTGTCACACATCAAACTATGTCCCCTCAGATACATGTACATAATGTGGAAGCTATATAATGATCTTCCATTATAACTGAAACCAAATAATTGTAGGACAATTAAGTGTGGAATTCAACACCCCATAATTCCATCATAGTCTTAATGTCAGGGAAATATGCTGAGATGTGGTTTGTAACACCTGGGATTATTGTCAATGTAAGTTTTGAATCAGCCCCAGTCATGAGCTGTGTGTCCCTTAAGAAGGTCTGCCATCCATAGGCTATCTGACTCCATTATTTTCAGTAAGAGCTGGTAGCCTCAGTGGTCTCTCTGATATAAAATCAGTGCTATATGTCTGCTGAGAGCCCTTGTTAGCCTACACACCTAGAAAAATGCATTTTTTTTCTCTATGACAAAAGCTGATCTTTCCTCTGGCTGGAGCTCCCTACCCAGAGAGTAAGTTGGCCCTGTTCCCAGATGTCTCAGCAATGATTATTCACACTCCCAAAAGTAGCATGACCCCAGCACTCCCTGATACGAGGTAAGGAAGTAGGGAAAAGACATACCAGGTATCAGAGGTCACATTACCCTCCACAGGAGCTGTTTCAGGAGCAAGACTAGTAATGTAGCAACTCCAAGTCATGAAGAGCTGAGTGACTGGAATCTAGGGGTTCTGTGATGATTCAATACAGCTCCCAGACTTCCAGACACAGCCAGCTGCCATAGAGCTGGGATACTGAAGCTGCTTGCTTAGACTCCCAAAAATCCAACTTGACATAGGTCTTTGAACTTTTGCAATTGGGATGTAAAAGAAGGAGCTTTACATTAACTGAGCATGAAGTATTTGCACCACAGTATTCGGCAAATATTACAAGGCGTTTCCTCCTTGTTATATTAGATATTTACTGCACTCCAGTAATTTTGAGGGTGGAAGGTGGAAAGCCACAAAAGGAGAAACCCTAGAACCCCAGTAGGAGAGGAAATATGCAGGCTGGCATATGGTGGTCCCCAGTTCAAATTCCAACGCTGCTAATATGAACTGATTTTACACAATTCATTTCACCTTTCTCTTTTGAGTCTTGAGTTTCTCATCTACAAAATTATTAATCTACCAGTCATATTGTTATTGTTAGATGCCATTGAATTGACTACAACTCATCATGACCCTATAAACAACAAATCTAAACTTTGCCCTGCCCCATGCTGAGGCTAGGTGTGATGTTAGCCTAAAAGTCAGATTTTTTTAGCCATTACAGTTAAATGCTTTTGGTCTCCAGGTACCTTAACTGCAGATATTTGGTCTTGCAAATCAGCATGGTCTTGCAAATCATCAACAGCTGTGAAACTATGATAAAACAAAGAGTGCTTCCCACACTTGGGAGCAAGACTTACAGCAGCAAGACTTGAGGGAGACTGGATTGAGACTTAGTGAGAGTGAGACCCTGGTGGTGGAGAGACTGTGGCATTGCTGTGGAGAAACTGTGGCAGGTTGTAAGCAGAGAAGATCTGAGATAAAGGCTACAGTTAAAGGTTTTGGTTGTTCTTGCTGGATACTTAAAGGAGAAGGTGATTTACAACTGCTGTGAGGCAGACCTTGCTGGATGATTTGGATTTGACTGCTGAACTGAAACTGGCTCCTTGACTAATTGAGGGATTATGCCTTGGAACTTGGGCTAAAACCTGGACTTGTATTTGGTAATATTCTTTGCCTTCCACACTCTCCAACTTCTTTCCCGAATAAACCCCATTGCTGGTACCATAACTGTGAATCAGCTGGAGTTCTCAAGCAGAACTGAAGAAAGTGTTGAGAGTGGAGCCATGGGAAAGAAGCCATACGCGGCTCCTTAAAACTCACCAGACACCAGACAGTGAGTCCAACCCTGGCCCAGTAGTATGGGCTGAGAGCTCACCAAGCACAAAGAGGCCTAGTGGTCTTCCTCTGAGTACAGTTCTCCCCTAAGCTGATTGTTTCAACCTCCTAGATCTTTCCTTCAACAATATTGAGACCATCGAGGGACTGGACACATTGGTGAACCTGGAGGACCTGAGCTTGTTCAACAACCGCATTTCCAAAATTGACTCCCTAGATGCACTGGTCAAGCTGCAAGTGTTGTCTCTTGGCAATAATGAGATATTCAACATGATGAATGTGAGTAGCCAGTGGGAGTGGAGAATGCCAGGGAGATTGGGTCCAGGGTAGACCAGAGTTCTTATTAAGAAAGCTGCGAGGGCTGCTAGGTGGTAAGTGTGCCAAAAGTCATGCAGGACTTGGTTCCAGGTTTTCCATTTTTAATCAAAAAGTCAGAAATTTAGATTGTTATCTAACAAACTTGATAATATTTAAATAATATCATAAGCCCAAAAGGCCTCCAAACCAGTATAAAGTAGTTCAGTCATGAACTGACATTGAAGTTAAACCAAGACCAACTAGAATTTGCCAAATATGGTGTAACAATAAAAAAGGGAGGGGAATTATATGTTAAAGCCTTAGAATGGGAGACACAAAAGAGTCATAATGAATCCTTTCAGGAGCATAATATAGGAGATAGGCAGGACTATGATGAATGACACATTCAAAGTAGCTAAGTCAGCCACTGTCTGAACCGGGAACCATTGCCTCTAACTCTTTCAGCTAAGAGATTTGGTTGCTATGCAATGGGTGTACTGTCCTTACTATCTATGAGAGAGATCAAGCAAGGCATCAGCTTGCATTTCCCCCTTATGCTTATCATTCCAGGCACCACGTTTTGCAAATTCTACTCTGTCCCAGTTTCACTTCATCAGTCATGACTGGACTGATAAGAACTGGTTCAAAACTCTGGCTTAATGCCACAAAACCTGAGGGCCAGTAAGTACCATCACTCTACTTTCCCCCCAATCTCTTCACACTTAACAAGCATCCACTGAGGTGAGAGCCTATGAAGCAGAATGGATGTCAATATAAAGAAAATGTTCCCTCAGACACAACTAGCTCACTCCTACCTAATGAGAACTCAGTGACAAGTATGAAGAGGAATAAAACAAGGTCTGCAGGTGAAGGGAGGACACCTAAGATGCTAGGCATGCTGTTATGAAATGCAGTGGTCTTCAGGAGAAGGGAGGACACCTAGGATGTCAGGCATGTCAGTATGAAGTGCAGTGGACATTGATTATCTGCAGAAGAGGCATATACCCTCCTGCATCTCTATCCACATCCTCACCAGGCTCATCAAGGATATTTCCACACCTGATGCCTTGAGTCTTGAGGTCTAGGTCACCCAGACAGAGAACAGCTGAGTGGGCTCAAAGCAGCTGGGCCAGGGCAAAAAGACCAGGGATTAGGATAATGGTAGCATCAGTGATTCCTATGTGTAGATTTCAATACACTGTTCCTTAGTCAAGACTACACTGTTGTCTGACCTCTAGTTTGCCTGCCAGTCCCTAGACTGTCCAGTACTCTGTTTCTTTACTGCTTAGGTGATTTTGAAGGTCGGCTTCACTTCTCAGGTACATGTCCTCAGGTCCAACCTTTATGTGACTCAGTTTCCTCATCTGTAAACTGGAGAGTATAGCTATATTCTACTTCCAAGGCTATTTCAAAAATTGATAAGACCTACCTCTGCCAAAAGTAGAGACTGTAAATGGTCTTTCTTTTTGTTATTTCTCTGCCAGCTACGCCTGTAGCCAGAGGTCCAATACCTAGCTGCCTTTCTCTGGCATCTTCCTCTTCAGATAGGCAAGCTGGTTTGGAGTAGAATGGTAACTACTTTTAGTTTTTATTTATTAAACATTCGAGGTTTTGGTTTTAAAGTCAAAATTACAGCAAGCCCCTGGCATTTTAGCAGAGGGACCATTTCAGACCAAAGTGTACTGTTAATGATTTTTTAAAATTAAAATATATTAAAAATTAAGTAAGATATGGCCAAAAAAATTGATAAGATAAAAAGAGGAAAGCTAGAGTAAGTTCTATTTGAATGAAGCATGTAATAGCTAGAATCTTTCCTAGCAGAGTGTTGAGAGGGGAAGCTCCTTTGGATTTAGAGTCTATAAAATGTTGGCATTTTATCAACCAGCAGGAAGGAAGATTCTAAGGAGAAAATGAACTGAATGAGGCCTGGAGGGAGTTTTGATAGCAACAAGCTGCCCAGGAGCCATTTTGACCCTGAGGTCACTGAATCAAGTTGAGGGTACAGCCAGGAGACTGACAGTTGGAAGATGAGAGACCTTGTCACAGACATTTTTAGTGTTATCAGAGCAGTGAGGAACCATGATAGGTTCTTGGCTGAGTCATGGAAGGCTTAATCTGTAGTTCAAGGAGGAAATCATGGTGCAGTGAGAGAGTGGGTTTGCAGAAGTTTTGTATCCAGATGATTTAAGGACTGGCTCCATCAGAAGACTACAGACCTACCAGTATCAAGCTCAGCCTGACCAACCAAACACGGAACTGAATTTAGGGATAGTGACAATGACTGATGGGGAGGTAGCCCCAGGAAGATAAAAGGGACAAGAAAAACCAAATACATATGTATTACTGAGATTGCTGCTAGGGTATCCAAAATGTTCATCTGACTTGAACTCCTGAAGGACTAGACCACTAGGTCAAGGGCATTTACTCATCAGGCCTGCTCCTTTGTGTTTGAGGTTAACACCCCAGAGGTGTTAACTCCTCTTGGTGGATTGAGTGGACTTCTGTGGCTTCAAGGCCACCTCTGAGGCATTGTGTGACTGAGAAGGTCCAGGTAGGGAATGCCAAGTATTTTCCCCCTCTAGCATGTGCACTTGTCTGCCAGTTTGACATACTATAGTGGTTTGCATGTTGCTACTAATATTTCAGATACTAGCAGAGTTACCCATAGTAGACAAGTTTCAGTGGAGATTCCAGTATAAGATAGACTTAGAAACAGGACTGCTCACCTACTTCTTAAATAATAATTCATGAACCCACTGTGGATAGCAGCAGAAAATTGATAATAGTGTTTGTAGGGATAATTTCTTTTACAATGACTTGATTGCATCTCAACATCAACAAAATAAAAATCCTCACTACTAGACCTGTAGGCAGCATCATGATACATGGAAAAAAGATTAAAGTTGTTAATAACTTCATCTTGCTTAGATCTACAATCTTGGCACCAGAAGTTAGGAAATCAGAAGCTAAGTTGCACTGGGAAAATCTGCTGTCAGGGACCTCTCCAGAGTTCAGCCATGTTAGACTAAACACTAAGAGGCACCTGATCCAAGCCATGGTCTTCTCAGTTACTTGCTATGTATCTGGTAGCTAGACAGTGACTGAGGATGACAGAAGAACAATCGATGCCTTTGGAACATGGTACTGGAGGAGTGTTGAACATATTATGGACAGCCAAGAGAACAAACAATTGTGTCTTGGAGTGGCAAAATCATGTTGCTCCGTGGAGGTTAAGATTTTAGAACTCCAACTCACATACTTTGGGCATGTTGTCATTAAGGGCTAGTCCATGGAGAAGGACATCATACTTGGAAAGATAGAAGGTCAGCAGCACAGTGACTATGGCAGTGAGGTTAAATGTGTCAGAGACAGTGAGGCTGACTCAAGATAAGGCAAGGTTCAGAGCCATTGTTCATAGGGTTGCTGTGAGTTGTAGATAACTTGGCAACACATGATAACAGCTCTTATGAGGTAGAGGTAGGAGTTCTGGTAGCCTAGTGGTAAGGAGTTGCAGTGCCAACCAAAAGGCGCTTGGCTCAAATTTGCCAGCTGCTCTAAGGAAGAAAGATGAGTAGTCTCTTCTCATGCAATTTACAGCCTGTAAAAGCCCACTGGAAGGTCAACTGTGAGTTAGTACTAATAACAACAATAATGATGTCCCAAATGTCCAAACTACTGTATCACTTCAGCTTTTCTGATATGGAAGATATAGTCCTCCCACTCCCAACTTTGTCTTTGGGTTTTATAGTTCACAGAAAGGTCTTACAGAAATAAAAAACTGTCAGGGAAATGATGTATGTGATTGTGGCTGGTGTAGGCTAAGGCAAGTGCTCACAGACTGGTGTTCCAGGAACCTGTAGGCTGAGGTTGTCAGGTTAGATGCAGTATCCCAAGTGAGCAAATATGGCACTTCCTAGGAGCAATCCTTAATAGAGGACCTCAGAGCTATAAACCACATCCCAAAGAGAATTAAAGGATGTGTCTTTGGTACTAACTTCTCGTAAAGTGGCTAGGAGAGACCAGTCCTTGGAGAAGAACATCATGCTTGGAAGGGTGGAGGGACAGCTCAGGAGAGGAAGACCCAAGATAAGAAGGATTGACTCAGCAACTGAAGAAGTGGGATAGGGTCTGTTGAAGACAATGAGACTGGCTCAGGATAGGGAGGGTTCAGAGTTGTTATACATAGGGTTGTTATGAATCACAGCCAACTCGAAGGCACATAACAACAACCACAAGATGATACTTGTATCTCACCCTAAATTTATCTCCCTTAATACAATAAATAACTCATTCTTGAATGAGGTCTTAAGCATAGATAAAGAAGTTTGTGTTGTTTCGTGCCATCAAGTCAAACTCATAGTTTTCTGATGCTGTAAATCACAAAGGAGGAGACTGGCCATGGATTAACTGGTTTTGCACAACTCCATACTCCCTCGGTCACCAGAGATCCCAGACAGAGAATCTAGATTCACAAAATGGAATTATTTCTTAATTTATTGTACCACCATGCATAAAAAGGAACCCTTCAGGCTGGAAAACACTCAAAAGTACCAAACTAAAAGAGCTGCCTCCTCAGAGTAGTGAAAAAGATGGACTAAAACTTCCATCAAAAGAAGAACCTTCCTTTGCTGATGTGGCAAAACTCAGAATTAGAAGAAATAGTCCTTAATGAAGAGTAGTGATTAATTGAAAACATCCATTAATAACTGGAATATGGAATGTACAAAGTATGAACCTACTGGAAGTCATAAAAAATGAAATCATATGCATAAAGATTGAAAAGTGAAATAATATGCATAAAGATTGATATTGTAAGAATTACTAAACTGAAATAGTCTAGTATTGGGCCTTTTTAATCAGACAATCACATGGTCCATGGGCCATCCCAAAAGCCCTCAGTTCAAATCTACCCACTTCTCAGCAGGAAAAGGATGAGCATTCTCCTTTCATAAGATTTACAGCCTCTAAAAACCCACTGGAGA